TAATTTTTTTATTTTATTGTAGAGATGAGGTCTCGCCTGCCCAGGCAGGTCTCGAACCCGCGGGCTCAAGCAATCCACTCACCTCAGCCTCCCAAAGGCGCGGGATTACAGGCTGAGCCACCGAGCCCGGCTAAAAGTAACATTTTAATTATATGGATTCTAGAGCCGTCACAAAAAACTAAATTAGTCTCTACCCTCTTAAATCTCCTGTATTTTTGGTTCAAAAATCTGTATTTTTAGTAAACTTTTCAGAGAATACTTATGTAGTCAGCCCATTATTGGTCAGAGTTTGGGCCTTGATAACCATTTGTTAAAATGAATAATTCAAATCTCTAAGCAAAACTTACAAAGTCATGGGGAAGGTATTACTCATTAAAAGATTATATCAGTCAAATTCTAACTAAACATCTTGGAATGGAGCCATTTGATTAGTCTGATCATAACAGTTAGTCATTTAGATATTTCCTAGACCCATAAGTAAAAGCCTCCCCCTTTACACTGTTCTATTACCTAGTAATTATTTTTAGCTGAAAAGGTCCTTAAGGATCATTGCTTCATTCATTCAGCAGGTATTTATTGAATGTCTACTATAGGCTAGTCAATGTGGTAAGCTAACTGAGGAGGATATAATGGATAGAGATGCTCTTTGCCATCATGTAGCTAGCTATTGGGGGAGGCATTAAAAATAAATATATAAGCAAATAACAGAATTACAAATTCTGCAAGGGCTGGGCTGTGCAAGAAACAAACTGGGGGCTGAGATAGAAAATAACAAGAGAGTCCTACTTGAAATAAGGGTATGAAGGATAGTGAATTTTAAGCCAGGAATTAAGGATGAGGAAGAAATAGCCACAGGAGGGTTGTGAGGGAGTTACAGTGTTCCAAGTGGAGAGAGATCAACCTGCAAAGGCCCTGAGGCAGGAAAGAACCTGTCCTGGGACTGGGACTGAAAGAAGGCCTTTGTGGAGTACAGTGGGCGAAGAGAAATGTGCCATAACTGTAGGTGAAGTAATAGACCTGCCCCCTTCCCAGTCTCTACCCTCTTAAATAGACATGAAATCCTAGAAGTCCTAAGTCAAACATGGGAGCATCATCCTTTGGCACATCAGATTGCAGTGGTGTTTCTGAGGACATCGCCTTGTCTGCTAATCTCTGTTCTCTATCTCTTTTCTCTCTTCTCTATCTCTTTTTCCCATATTGCTTTTATACCTTTTGCAAAAGTAATGAAGGAGTTAGTAAAGCTAATAATCATTACATTCTAGAGTTGAAAACTTACAGAAAATAGGTACTGCCTTACTGGTTCCTCCCATTCATACACCACTAATCTTAAAGTTGGCTATGTCCCAGTTCTTTTAGTAGCCATATATCGATTATCCCATTCCTAAATATATTTGAATGTTTAAAAATCCATTTGCTAGCCAGGCTCGGTGGCTCAGCCTGTAATCCCGCGCCTTTGGGAGGCTGAGGGAGTGGATTGTCTGAGCCCGCAGGTTCGAGACCCGCCTGGGCAGCGAGACCTCATCTCTACGATAAATCAAAAAATCAAAAAATCAGCCGGGTGTGGTAGCGCATGCCTGTAATTCCGGCTACTTGGAAGGTTGAGGCGGAAGGATCGCCAGAGCCCAGCAGGTCGAGGCTGTGGTGGCCAGGAGCGGCCACTGCACTCCAGCCTGGGCGATAGAGTGAGACTCCA